GGAAACATCAGCCAAGAAAAATTATTACTACCGTTGAGCTGCTCGCCTTACAAAAACAAGTTTTTTATCTCTGATAGCGAAGATCATTGCATCAAGGCTTTCGACAAGTCAGGAACATTCTTACACAAGTTTGGCAAACAAGGCAATAAAGATGGACAATTTAACCACCCGTGTGGTTTGCTTATAGACAGCTCTAATTATCTTCTGGTGTGTGATCAGCAGAATAACCGAGTTCAGCAGTTTTCTCTGGACGGTCGCTTCACTGGTAAAAGTGTCACTCATTTACCTAATCCTCGTAAAATGGCAGCAACAATAGATGGACGTATTCTCGTGACTACCCGTGAAAAAATTTTCATCTTAAAGTAGCTGTTTAAATAGACACATTTACTTTGCAGGTTGTATTCTACCTCTAATGAACCGAACTGTTTCTTTCCAAATGTGCAATAATCCGAGTTCGCTACGTTCGAGTTTGCTACATTTTCGCTACTAACATGCCGAATTCGCTGCCTCTGTTAATTCACAGTTCTAATTTATCTTTTTAACCATAAACCACAAGCAATATCTGTAATTCATTCTCCCAAATGCGTGATTACCCTTTCTAGGAGTCAGTTAAACTGATCATACGCAAATTGCCTTGTAGTTTACTTCTTAATTATAATCAAAGCAAGATTTTAGAGGATAATTGTAATCAAAGTTACGTAGTAAGATTTTCAAGTGCTGTGTGTAGTAGCCTGGCTAGATTCGGTACCTTAGACTCCATTCGTTTACATTACTCTGAGTAGAAATCTATTTAGCGTGCTTATAGACTCTGAAATATATAGTTTAATAATAAAGAAAGTACTGTTAAATGAATTATTTTGACTCGTCTTTACAGGTTTTCTGCTTTCTCTCTCTTGTCAATGCCGCTGTTCCATTTTTAGCGATGCGTGGGCTCGATGATAACCACGATAATGTGCTAGAACATGGCGCCCACTTAAGGTTGACTAAGGCAGATTTCTTTAACATAAGATGTTGGCTCTAAAAAGTCGTGGAAGTAAAATGATAGAATGGTACAATTAAGTAAGTGGCGAACATGTTGCGGACTCGAACGTAGCGAACTCGACAAGTAACGAAACTGGCTATATTTATTCGACTGTACTCTGTTCTGTAGTAAAGCACACAGGAAGCGGCTAGAGCAAGAAAGAGGTGTAGGGGAAAACACGAGACGTAGTCAAGCGTTTCTCCCTACTTCTTGAGTGCAACTGAGAGTATAATCTGATTGGTGGAATAAGTCCCTTTACACTCCCTTTATACTTCTGAGGACTTCCACTACTTATCATTACTGTGTTACCTTGTGTTGCTATTGCTGTGATCTGCTTAACTCCTTCCAGGTCTATCTTGATCCATAATGGATCCCTGCTGGAAGCACACCACACTCCAATTCGCTTGCGATCTTGATCATCCTCAAAGTACAAACTTGCATTACTCGCACTGGCTACCCAACCACCACCCTCAATTACAGACATAACATAAGATTGGTCAATCTGTGGTGGTAGTAAATCCTTTAAGCTAACGAACATACTCAGATAATATGATGCCCATCAGGAATGAATACAAGCAATTCTCTTTAACATGAGTCTTTCAAGGCTCGTGTTAAAGAGAATTATTCGTTTCGGTGAATTTCTCCTTACGATATCAATACAACAACACTGATGTCAAGCAGGCGAATGATAAGAATAAAGAAAAAATGACCATTAAGGGATTATTACGTGAACCAACAACAAATTCTCCGAACTAACATCATAAGGTTTGAATGGCACACAGTAAGGACGTGAGCATTTAGCGTAACTGTGATATTTTATGATGAAATGACCAACTTTTACCTTCTTGCTTCTTGCTGGTTACATGAGCTTTTCGGAAATTAATTGCCTCCAAAATCCAGAAATTTCTGAAAAAAATATTCTTGGCTTCTATAACCTTTTCGATTTGTAAGTACTCAATCTTCTTCGGTTTTAGATGACCAGCTCCTTTCCTAGATAACTTTAAGACAACTTTCACTGTTATAAAGTGTCATTTTTATGCGACAACCTCAGTTACAAAGGCCTGGTCTAAAGAATATACCGTTGCTCAATCTGAATAAACAGTTTTTCTCCATAACTTCAAGAGTTTTAGAAAATAAACGACACTTTTTAAAGAAATGTTTCGACAATTCTTCTGTTATCTTCAGTTTTGATTTACACAAAGTACAAAGTTGAATTTAAAAGTGTATCACACAATGCTGATTGGACAAAAACAAAACAATAGTAACAGAACAATGTATGCAATTTACAAGGAAATTAACATGATGAAGTTGAGGATTAGGTGTGGTGTTCCCACTGGATGTGGATAGATGCGTGAGCACTTAGTCAGTGATAGGACCTCTCGCATTTTTAGACATCTACATAATTCTACACAATGTCGCATTCTCTGTTCTGATAAGTGTTTTAGCATCTTAGATCACGCTTCCACAACTTTCCAACTCAAAATCGAAGAATTCTGAGGAATTTGATATTATAGTTTCAAATAACATTCAACCGTTCCTTCCAAATATTTAACACTCAGTTTTAAAATAGCCTGAAATTCAACCTTCCACCATAGAAGGCCATATTGCTAGAAAGAATGAGCGCCAACCTGAGAGTATCCCCTTCTCACCTGGTCGGAATCCCGCCACATCTTGCCCCAGAGGAGGGGGTGATGTGTGTAAAAAACCCCGCAGACCATTTTTTTCGACCGATAAATCTGAAAAAGAGAATAGTTTGTTTTCCTACTAGCCGGCGGCAATATCTAAAACTAAAGGCTCACTGATAGCTCCAGTGAATACTCTGTGTTCGATAAGATACTCACCATGACGATACCGGACGATAACCGATCGGCTTTGCTTTTCAAATCAGATTAGCTTCCGTTTTATTGGTCAGGGCCCATTTGTATAAAGGATGGATAACACCATCCAACGGATAAATCGCTACCCAGCAGATAAGTGATAGCAAAACGTATAGCGTTATCCACCGGATAGAAATTTTATCCTTTGAATAGTGTTATCTGACATTCAAACAACTGGGGCTAGGAAGTTATAGCTGACATCGATGTTTCTTTATAACATCCTACTCAACAATTCGTTGAAGGAGTATCTGCCATCAGTCTATCAAAACTTGCTCAGTTTATCTAGATTCCGACACGTATGGGCGACCAAAAACTGTCCCATGTCTCTACAATTTTAGACGTGGGTTTACTTAAAAACGCACTAGCGATGAACGAAAAACTTCTGATGCTCGTCATATCAGGCGGAAATCGGTTCGCCATAGAGACAATACCTGATGTGTATCGCATCGTCGTTTCCAGCTCCTTTCCTCTTCTCGCCATGCTAGTGTGGGATATGGTGAGACTTTGGAAACCATGTTGGGTATTGTATTGTAAAAGTTAAATCAAAGCGTTGCAGCTCAATTCTCTGACAAAATGAACGCACAGGAAGCTCACTAGTAAGTCTACTGTTAACGATATTTTGCTCACAAGAAAATCCTTACAACGTTATAACACTGGAAACAATTTTTCGAAGTACGGCAAAAAGTAGCAGTAGAAACTCCATCGGCCATATAATGACCACAGAATGCATCATTCTCAAATGTCTAATCATTAACCCTTTACACCCTAACATCAGTCTGTATATTCTCCTTACTGTTCTTTATACATTTCCTAAGGTGCGGACAAGGAGAATATGTTTAATAATCAAAAGCTTCCCTGATTGGTGATCACTTCTTGTATTCTCGTGACCTTAATGTGTAAATCAGGGGTGATATTGTAAGGAGAAATCAGATGCTGGTCACTCTTTGGGGTCAAAGGGTTTAAGAGGAATAGATCAGTTTTACTCCACACGTCAATTTACGACTTGAAAACTTAAGCGAGAATTCGAAGTCAGTAGTGCGTGAAAACATGCAAACAATTAAAACAAAAAAGAAACTCAAGCGTGACTGGGTGATGATAGCCCAGTTTATAAATATTATTTATTTAGCTTCAGTTCATGAGGTCACGCACGTAAATCCTGTTTTTCTTAGCCAGCGTTAAGCCGTACCCTCCACCCCCCCCCCCCAAACTGAAACGGAAGCGAGGGAACATCTACGCAAACCTGACACAAATCGTGTTACGTGACGTCATTTTTTTTTGTGCAATAAAATATATAATTACTTTTCATTGGTTAACCCTTTTTCCTATTCTTTCGTCAATTCTGATTGGCGAGAGTTGGTAATTTATTTTTATACTAACGAACAAGATGTTAAACAAAATGCTTTCATAGTCAACTTTTCAGACAACAGCTCTCACAGAAGACCGAGTGCACTATCTTAATGTACTTGGGCAAAGAGGCTTGTCCGCCTTCAACTTTCGGTCTCTTTGCGAACGGTACTACGAAGCTACGAAATAAAAGCTAGTTGTCTCTTGCAGCGATTCTTTCGGCTGAGAAAAGAGTTGCTCTTTCTTCACGCTTGCAGCGTAACAATCTGCTAAAAGAAATCTGTAAAAACCTTGATCCAATGGTCCAACTTTTTTCGACGACTGTAGCACTGTTTACAAATGCAAGCAGAAACCGCGTGGACGTTAAAGTCTAGTTTTGCGAGAGCGATGCTAATCGAACATCGTCCTCTTCTTATTCTATGCCAAAAATCGCTCATAATCTTTTCCTTTATCCTGAAAACAAAGTTTATATTTGAACTTGGACGCTGAATTGCAAATTTACCCGAAAAAGGGAAAATGAATTCACTTCAATGCTGTTGTTTATCTTGATAACCTTCACGTGCCACTTCGCAAAAAAATATTATCAAGCGACATTATTTTGCATAAACTGACATAATCTGACACAAGTGTCAGGTTTGCGTAAACGCGGTTACCTCGTTTCCGTTTAACCTTGCGGGGGAGGGTACGGCTACACGTAAGCTATGTTTTTCTCAGAATTTCAAACAATAGCTTTTACAGGCTGTGTTTACATGCAATTTTGTCGAACGCTGACAATGGAGTCCTTCTTGAGAAACCTCACCAAACAAGTTACTTGTTCGATTTGTCTCGAGACCTTCAAAGAACCGAAAATTATATCGTGTTTTCATACGTTTTGCTGTGAGTGTTTGGAAAAACACGCAAGAGTGAGCCAAAGACATGGAAGATTTCGATGCCCCGAGTGTCAGGCAGAAATCCACCTGCCACAAGGAAATCGCTTCGAAGCGTTGCCAACCAGTTTTCTTCACAACAGTTTGTTGAATATCCTTGCCGTTCGACAAAGTGGCGATGGAACAAACATCACTTGTGGCAACTGTAACAAGACCAGCTCCAATGTCCATTACTGCTTTGATTGTGCTCGATTTATGTGCTCTCAATGTCTGAACGCACATAAAATTATGCGCGACGCATTCGAAGGACACAAAGTGATGCCTGTTAAAGACTTCCAAGATCAAGACTACGAAGCTTTGTTTAAGCGACAGCCCTTTTGCACCGAGAAGAATCACGAGAAAGAGATGACGAGATTTTACTGCCTTCAGTGTCAGTGTTGTGTCTGCCATCTTTGCAACGTGACGAATCATAAAAGCCATGAAGTTATTTTGCTCGACGATGCGGCGGACAACGAGAAAGGAAATATCATGGCGGGTGCTTTAATGAGTCGAACAAGGGAAAACCATTTGAAGGCAAAGATTCGACAGTTTCACCGCACAGCTTCTGAGTTGCGAGACAATGCCCAACTCGCTAAACGCGAAGTTTCGCAAGCAGCAGAGCAGAAGATCGCAGAGATTCGAGAGCGCGAGCGACAAGCCACTGAATCAATCGAGACAACGTGCGTGACGAGACTCCAAAAAATCAACTCGGCTTGGGAGGCTGTAGAATCTTTGATGAAGCAAAACAATAAAGTCGACGACTTTGCCGAAAACCTTGTACAGAAAAGCTCGAGCTGGGACATCGTGCAAAACAAGTACAATTTGAAACAGAGATTTGAGGAACTTCGAGGAATTTAGGCTGCACAACACCATCAGACCTCGTTCGTCAAGTTTTACCCCACTCATGTTGTGGGCTTTAATTGGGCGACATTGTAACCGAAGACATAGCGGACGGAAGTCGTTCCACTCTAGAGGGACTGGATCAAACTTTTCAGGCTGGTTTAGAAGCAAAGTTCATTTTATTCCCCAAATCACGTTATGGAGAAATTAGTAAGCAGCCTGATCTCAAACAGCAAATTGAAGTTCTCATACAACCAGCCGAAGATGTCATACAAGTCAATGTTTGCAACACAGAAAACGGTATAGTCGAGGTGAAATTTATACCCAAACTACCTGGTGCTTACAGCATTGAAGTGAAGATTAATGGAGATACACTCGTTAACTCTCCGTTCACTGTGGTGGTGAAGGAGCGCGAACTTATCGTGGTCGGTGAGTTGGATCTGCATTTATTAGAAGGAGAACAGGTCGACATTCTCGTTGGAATCGCGGTAAATACGAAAGGGAATATTGCCGTAACTGACAGTGGTAAACAATGTGTTTACATATTCGATAAAAATAGTAAATTTCAGAGAAAATTGGAATTAAAGGGGAACCCACATGGTGTGACATATTTAAAGGGTGACGAGATTTTGATTGTGGACACAAATAACGACAGAATACAACAAATTAATATTCAGACAGGAACTGTTGTGAAAACTTTAGGGAAAGAAGGTATAGGGATAGGAGATTTTGATATCCCAGGTGATGTTTGTTTGGATGAAGATCGTCGCATTGTTGTGACCGAATTTTGTAATAACAGGATACAGGTGATGTCACGTGAGGGAAAGACCATTTCCATCTTTGGCAACTTCGGCGCAGAAAAATTAAAACACCCAAAGAGCTGCTTGCCTTACAAAAACAAGTTTTTTATCTCCGATACCGAAAATCATTGCATTAAGGCTTTCGACAAGTCAGGAGCATTCTTACACAAGTTTGGCAAACAGGGCAATCAAGATGGACAATTTAGGTACCCTAGTGGTTTGCTTATAGACAGCTTCAATTATCTTCTGGTGTGTGATCAGTGGAATAACCGAGTTCAGCAGTTTTCTCTGGACGGTCGCTTCATTGGTAAAAGTATCACTCATTTACCTAATCCTCGTGGAATAGCAGCAACACCAGACGGACGTATTCTCGTGACTACCTCTAAAAAAATTTTCATATTAAAGTAGCTGTTTCAATAGACACTTATTTACTTCACAGTTTGTATTCTACTTCTAATGACCCACACTGTTTCTTTCCTAATGTGCTATAATCGGAGACTGGAATTTGTAAGTTTATTCTTCTTTTCGAAGAAGCTTTGTCAAATACAACTGAACTATTTAGCTTAGAGATTTCAAATTATGTATGTTAGTGGCATTTATGCATATTCGTAATAATGTAGCACATGTAAATATTATAAGATTCTGATTGTTAAAGAATATTTTGCCTAGATACGTCGCATTACATTCATTATTTTCTTTCGATAACTTAGCACTAATTGCATATATTGCATATTGCATTCTTCTACTCGAAATAGCGATACGTGCCTGGTGCTGAAATAGACAAGTACTATGTGACATCCAGCTCTTGATAGCCCTCGCTTCCAAAAACAAAAAATACAGAAAGAACCGTTTTATGCGGTTGCGTGACTTTGTAAAGTTAACTTTTTGACTCCAAGATCTGACTGTTAATTCTCCCCTCTAGCTGTTACACATTTGCTTGTAAATAAGTTACAAGTGTTTGGTGTTAGATCACGATAACAACTTCTACTTGATAACTTTGAGTATTCTCATCGCCTGTTTGCTGGATAATGTTTGGATATTATAGGGAGAAGTTACATGTGAATCACTTCCGGGAGTTAAAGGATTAAAGGATAACTTTTTTTAAATTCTAATTGTCTTATAACTTGAAGGTGCTTGTAAGACTGTTCGTAATTGTACTTCCCATTGTTGTCGTGAAAGAGAGGGATTGGAGAGAGGATGTTTTTGATACGTCAAAATCTACCTGTATTTGACAGATGTCAGGGGCGGAAATAGATGCTGATACATCAAAACATTATTCATCACTTGGATGGTTTATTTGGACCCAACATATTGACCAGCTCCCAGTTGGTTTGTTAGCTCAGTTGGTAGAGCGCTGCACCGGTATCGCAGAGGTAATGGGTTCAAATCCCGTGTGGGCCTGAATTTTTTTCAAGTCCTATTTTCAACTACTAGTTCAGTAGTGATCTTAGCTGCGAGGATCTCTTAAATTCGTTTCTTCACCGCAGTGTAAATATATGAATTTCATATATCTAAAATCATTATGGATCAAACCATATTCAACATATTCGAATGTGCTCTGTTCTGTAGTAGAGCACGCAGGAGGCGTCTAGAGCAAGAGAGAAATGTAGGGGAAAACACGAGACGTAGTCGAGTGTCTCTCCCTACTTCTTGAGTGCAACTGAGAGTATAATCTGATCGGTGGAATAGGACCACTGGTCTTTTTTAACCAATCAGATTATTCTCTTAATTTAAAGCTTTCAAAAATGTCCAACCATCAAAGTTTACAATACGCAATAGTCCATAAACTAAAATAGTTCGGCAGGTTGTATTCAACACTTCTGCCTGAAGTTTTTTATTCTTAATAAAGAGTCTGAAGGTGAAATTTTCGGTGAAATCCGGCTGAATTGTGGCTCATATCAATAGTTTCTTCGCACGACAATTAGAAACAATCTACCCAAGGCGTGTGTTTTATGAATGAACGACAACATAAAGATTCCTCGGAGTGAGAGCGCCGTAAAACTCGGCTTCTGTAAGTGGTGTGGCCTTCCACTTAACGTATTGGAAAGGCTAAATGGATCGGTAGGATTGCGTTTTTCGGATATCAAAACCATGGTAAATGGCAGTTGTAAAAATTAAATTTTTGAGTTATTTTTTCAAAAGAGGCAGACGCCAAAGCGAATAAAATTTTGCCGAATAGGAGCGAGGTTGATTTAATGCGAATTAGAGATGATACCAGTGTTGTTACTGTTGGGTGATGTTGAAGTCGAATAAACATTGCCCTGGTCAAATAAAGTACAATCCCACAAACATGGCTCTGAGGCTGTGGATAATGACAAAAAGAAATGAATAACTAATCCCTCAACCCCAATGTGCTTTCCTTTGTGTTATTCGCCCAAGGAGCCAAGTTTGAATTTTAATATATCGAAAATGGCTTATGAGTCAAAAATCAAAATAAAAGCGATCACAGAGCAAAGCGCAGGAAAACGCGAGTGACCTGAAAACGTGACTGGTTTTACTTTTGAATCTGATTGATTTAAGAAAGTGGCACGAATTTTCAGAACAAATCAAAAAACCAAGTAAAGCGAAGCTAAAGCAATCACAGATAACTTTCAACTGACTCCAAATAAAAAATTACTTCTTAAAACGACTTAGAGCATGAACAGAAACACTCACGAATCATGACAAATAAGCCGTTTTATGCTAATATCAAAGGCACTTCTTCCCACGCACCTTTACCTGTTCTGCTTTCCATTCAACACCCCTCTAACAAATTTAGATGAAAAATCTTAGCGCAAACACAATCAAAAGGATATAAACTAAAGTTTAGAAGAGACTCCAAAAAATCAATTCGACCCGACAAGCCATAGGATCTCTGATGAAACAAAACAACAAAGTCGCCGACTTTGCCGAAAACTTGATACAGAAAAGCTCGAGCTGGGACGTCATGCAAAACAAGCCAAATTAGAAACAGAGATTTGAGGAGCTTCGAGGAATCCAAGCTGCACAACACCATCAGACCTCCTTCATCAAGTTTTACCCCACTCCTGCTGTGGGCTTCAATTTGGGCGACATCGCCACCAAAGACATAGCAGACGCAAGTCGGTCCACTCTGGAGGGACTGGATCAAACTTTTCAGGCTGGTTTAGAAGCAAAGTTCATTCTATTCCCCAAAACACCTGATGGCGAAATAAGTAACCAGCCTGATCTCAAACAGCAAATTGAAGTTCTCATACAACCAGACGAAAATGTCACACAAGTCACTGTTTGCAAAACAGAAAACGGTAGATTCGAGGTCAAATTTATACCCAAACTACCCGGCGCTTACAGCATTGAAGTGAAGATTAATGGAGATACACTCATCTCTCCGTTCATTGTGGCGGTAAAGGAGCGTGAACTTACTGTGGTCGGTGAGTTGGATCTGAATTTATTAGAAGGAGAACAGGTCGACAATCTATTTGGAATCGCGGTAAATACGAAAGGAAACATCGCCGTAATTGACAATGGCAAATACTGTGTTTACATATGCGATAAATACGAAAGGAAACATCGCCGTAATTGACAATGGCAAATACTGTGTTTACATATGCGATAAAAATGGTCAATGTTTGAGAAAAATTGGAGTTAATGGAGACCCAACTGGCGTGACATATTTGAACGATGACGAGATTTTGATTGCAGACACAAGTAACGGCAGAATACAACAAAAAAATATCCAAACGGGAACTGATGTGAAAACTTTAGGAGAAGCAGGTGTAGGAACAAGAGAGTTTAATCTCCCAACCGATGTTTGTTTGGATGAAGAACGTTGCATTGTTGTGACCGAGTTTTGGAGTAAAAGGATACAGGTGATGTCATGTCAGGGAGAGACCATTTCCATCTTTGAAAACATTGGCCCAGAAAAATTAAAAGAACCAAGGAGCTGCTTGCCTTACAAAAACAAGTTTTTCGTCTCCGATGGTGGGAATCATTGTGTTACGGCTTTTGACAAGTCAGGAACATTCTTACATAAGTTTGGCAAGAAGGGCAATCAAGAAGGACAATTTGACTGTCCCATTGGTTTGCTAATAGATAGCTCCAATAATCTCCTGGTGTGTGATCGGTTCAATAATCGAAT